TCGACCGTGAGTATATCTTCGTAACGTCTGAACCATGAATCGAAGGTTAGACCAGCATCAGGGTCATAAGGGAACTGCATGATGCTGTTGGCGATCGAGTCGACTGAGTTTGTATGTGGAGCATTATTTGGTGGTTGAATTTCAAGTTGCTGCGTCAATGTTTTCAACAACGGTAATTGCGTCGCTTCAAACTGATCTTGTTGTTGAAGCAAACGCCCGTTCTCCACGAGATGAAAAGAATATTTTCCGCTTCGTCTGAGAAAAAAGCCTTGTCGGAAACAAAAAATTCAGTTTTTCCTATGGCTAGAGTCGATTAGCCACCGATGGCCACTCTAGGCCACTTTTGCGCAGCCTAGGTCAGATTGACAAAGACTTTCATCTCGAAGTGAACCGTTTCAGGCGTGCGGTTTGGAAGGGTTGTAGTAACATTGTGTAGCAAAAATTTCTCACTACCTTACAAGACTACTGAAAAGATGTAAAGCATTATGTGGCAAATCCTCATAAGTTGCAATTTTTGCTTGTTCTGACAGTGGCTAGAAAGAATCTTGTATCGACAATGTTTACGCCGCTGTGCACATGTTTCCTACCTCGCAGTTTGCGCAATTCAGCACGGAAAATATGGCAGACGATTACTCATTATCCATGCTGAGTGCATTTTGTAGGTATCTATCTCCAAATACGGGTTTCACACCAGGAAGCACATGTGAGACATGGGGTAGTGGTCTTGAACTTGGTGCATGAAACTACCTTCATAAGACACTAGATCGAAAAACTTAGGGCGCCGTCAGTCTAAGAAACCTTGTGCTTGACTGGCGATATGACAAAAGTTGCCGGTTTTTCCCCCCACCAAACTCTGCCTAGGAAGGCTTGTGAGAGGTTAGTGGCAGGGACTGTCCTCCACCCACATACTCCTCACTCCAAGGCTTCGTAACATGAACTTCCCGCAACTATTTCACGATGAAGTCTCCAGGAACTCATGTTGACAGTAGAACAGAAAGGGAACATATTCCAGATACACAGACATCCCATTGCCTAATAACCGTTTGCTACGGCAGTGAAGCATCGGTGTTGAACACTGATGTCACGCTGTCGATGATGATGATGATGTCTGTTTTGATAAAAAGACCAAATCACTGCTTTTCAACCTATGGCAAATGTGTGAAACACGGTGTGCAAGGCACCAGTTCAGCCCGTCATAACATATGAAAGTAACTTTTGCTACGAAAGTTTCGCTCTAGCGTACGTATTCAGGCAGCCACCTCTGAAAAAATCGTTCAACTGTAACACCCTTTCGGTGCCTGGCTGCCATGCCACCTGAAGGGAGCACGACGCCTGGAATACTGCCAGGTTGTCCAAGCCTAGACAGTGGAAGTCGAGAGGCAGAGGTCGGGTTCGAACCACGTACCTTTCTGGCCAGTAAATTTGCGCTCTAACCACTGAGCCACCTCGCCCCACCACCTTTGAACGTCGAAGTGACACTGATTAGGAACTTTCGGACGGTCTCGTGAACAGCTTGAACATAATCAAACAACTGCGAAAACTTGGTCTGGCTTTCTAACGCAAAATCAGTTAACATCACAATGAAGTAATAAACTGGATGTGACTATTCGCCAGTGATTTTACCGCAAATTCGCTCCAACTGGTTGAACTATAATAAGAAATCGTCTGACAAGTAGAAATAAAGCAGTGAAAATACAATAATTTTGACTTTGACGAATTTTCAAATTCAGCAAAGCGTGAAACTTACTCTGCTTCGAACTGATTGGGCAGAATGACATCAGCCAGAGGAAGTATTTTTTCCTTGTACACTGGAACAAGGTCTGGAGAAACGTACTAAAGCAAAAATGAGAGATGCTGATCAATATGAGAACGAGTATAATCAACCACACTGTGCCCTCCAAGAAAAGAGCGAATTTACCTAGTCTTGACGTCGTCTGTTTGTGAGAGGGGCGAATTCCTCTTATCTACAGCAATCGCCCTTCAGATGTGACATTTAGACATCCCCTTCAGACGGTTTCGCCATAAGTAGACAATTGAACTAACCCGAAGGAAGCACGACGGCTGGGATACTGCCAGGTTGCCCAAGCCTGGACAGGAGAATCCGAGATTCAGAGGTTGGCCACGGACCAAGAACCTTCCTGTCATTAAATTCTCGCGCTTCAACTACTGAGCCTCTCCTTGGTTTGTCGTGGAAATTTAATAAAAATCCGAACTCAGAAGGGTATCATCACCAGCATCGACAGAATAGCATCAGTGTTCAACACTTGTTCTGACAATCTGGATAGTGCATGTCGACCAGAACACCAGTGATATCGATTAGCAGCAATATGTTGCAGCACTTCCAATCAGGCGCAGTGGTGATCGCGCGAAACATGAGTCGCGCAAACAGCATCCAGATCTTTCGTAATCTCTTTTGAACACCTCCACCAGTTCAGAGACTGATCGACCCTCTGAACTGGGCACAAAAAACAGCACCTCTTCAGAAACAGCGTGGTTTACACCGACCTGTGTGATCGAAAACCATCGGTAGCGAAGCACCAAAACGTGTCGTCTGTAGCTGGTGACGATGTGATCAGTTTGATTCCAAGGTTGCTCAGCAGCACAGGGGATGCTAATTAGCACAATGTTACCCACTGCTCCTAAAGCCGATACTGTCGAGAAACAACTGGTGGTCAGTACAAAATCGCGAAAGACGTCCATCATCATCATCGACAGCATGACATCAGTGTTCAACACCGATGCTTCACTGCGAAAGACGTCCACAATTATTACTATACTTTGCAGCCAAAATAAGCATGCCTCTGATGAATTGGAAGGTCTGTTCTGTGCATTGAAATCACCTGCTATTATGACCAGTTATGAGCTCTTCGTGATGAACAAGTGATTAATTCTCTATTGAAGGCATCTGCTAAGCAATCAGCGCTAAAGTTGATTGGCGCATTATCACCATCGATACTAAAACATCAGTATTCAGCACTGATGCTTCGCCGACGTACAACCATGGTTCATTTGAAAGCTTTATTCAGAAGAAAACAATTAAAGTGGGTAGTGATTTAGTGCTAGCTTATTACAATCATTCTAAGATGCCTACAGACACTCGTTCAGGCAATGTGGATAGCAACTGACAACACGAACGCCACTGACATTGGATGGCAGACATATCTTGCCGTGTTTCCAACCAGACGCAGTGGGGATCACGCGATCCCAATCCAAGAAGGCCAATCGCACCGACAACACCGATAGGTTTTGTAATCTTTTTTACGCCCCTCTGCCGGGTCGAGGGTTGGCCAACTCTCTGCTTTCGCCACTATGAATCGGGCAAGAAAAACAGCACTCTCTTGGGCATGACCCAACTTACGCAGCTTCTGGTGCTTGACACAATCTTCAATGAAAGTCCCCGTTGCACAACCAAAAACCTGAAAGCGCCTCAGTTTCGCTGCTCGAACAAGTCAAGTCTGTAGCCTCACACTGACGCATAAGTAGACAGGACAAAAGAGCGATCTCAAAACTTTGATGTGAGGTTCTGTCGAGGTCAGAATTCGGATAGCACAGAGGCTAATGTTTACAGGCATACTGATTATAATAATCACTCAGCCGTAGCACCTAAACGCAGCACGAGAGTTGAAATACTGGCAGGTTGCACAAGCCCAGACAGGGGGTAGTCGAGATACAGATGCCGGGTTCGAACAACTTACTTGCCGATCACCGACCGGAAGGTCCGTGGTTCTAACCTGAAATCTGCATCTCTGCTTCCCCCGTCTAGTTTTGGGTAACCTGGCACTATCCCAGCCCTCGTGGTTCCCTCGGGTTGCATGGCAGCTAGGCACTGAAAGGGTGTCACAGCTGAACGAAGTTCACACCAAAACCACTGAGCTATCTCGCTTCATTCCGCGGACTGATTGCTAAACCAATACCGGTGCAATTCGAGGTTCACGGTTGGTACTGTCTAGGTACAGAGGGTGCTGTAAACTCAATAATTGCACTTGGATCTTGCATACAAACTCCAGAGATGAAACGCATATCATTGGGTAGAGCATCTAACAAAAACAGAAGAATGAAGCCTGATTGCAGGATGCTAAGCGACAAACGTAAGCAGTTACGTGCAATGTGCCAGCTCCCTAGATACCCGACTGACATGCCTACAGGGGAATTATCAAGCGAAGGAGGAGAGATGATTGTTGGGAAAGATGAAAAGCATTAACAGTTGCATCGCTTTACTTATCCGTACGCTGTATGCAGCTACTAAGGCTAGGAGCAGAAGATAACGCAGTGGGCAGGGCGCGAATTTACTGACCGGAAGGCCAATATTTCGGCCCATCTCGACTGCTCGTGCAACCTGGCAGCATCTCAGCCCTCGTGCTTCCTTCAACTGCCACAGGCTAGGCACCGAAAAGGTGTTATGGCTGAATGTTTTTTAATAAGGCGATTCGGTTGATTCCACTCAGTGACAGCCTATGTGGCGTGAAGTGGCTTTGGTTGTACAGATGCTTGTTGTATGTGGATTGGGATGCTTCTGGGGAGTCCAAACATAGACAAGAGAATAATCACGGTCAACAACCAAAGCTTTCGACCCAAAATGCAGCCGTGATTGGTATACAACTACCACAGTAAAATGAATTTACGGAATCTGTTACCGACGTTGTTCCAACCCTGGATCTGGAGAGCCTGAAGGCTACTTCGAAACTCCATCCGTTGATCAACATGGTAAGAGAGGCCCTATGGATGTTAAATAGGCATTCTCCTGTACCTCTCAATGGGCTTGCGAGGTGCTTAAAACCGCTACACCACAATAAGCGTGCTTCTTCGCGATGGCTCGAAGGTGTACGGTAGGGGCATTAACAGGGCAGCCCTACCATGTGTGCCGAAGTGACAGGAGTGGAAGGAGGGAACTAACGGTGGCCTAGTGCTGCTTCCGGTGCATGTCCGAGACCAAGAGTACATTTCACCACCGCATCGTGGTGAAATTCAATGTGGCAATGTTGAACCTAAGCGGGACATTAGAGAATTCCATTGGATAATGGTAGAGTTGCGGTGTGGAAAGGAGCGGCGGAGGGTACCAACAGAGCAGGAAATTCTTAGCCACCAAAATCGAAGGGAGGTTAGGGTACTCCACATTGAGTCTTCCGCACATAATTCTGATTTGAAAAGAAGTGGAAAGATACGACGACGTTTTTGGGGTCTAAATTCTTGTCCTCAACCCACCAGTTTGACCCGTTGTATAAAAGACCTCGATAAACAGAAAGGTTTCCTATCCTGGGTTCAATTCAGCAAAGCTTGTGAATTCTGCACTGACACATGAACTACATGGCCCTTGTATGAGGCGAAATATTTGCTCAATGAAATGAATCAGGACTCCGGTAGATGTTGTTTCCAACTCCAAAAAGGTTGAGCTTTGATTGCCACATTGCTTGGTTTCGTATTTCAGCTGAATGAAGACAGAACACACCGAAAAGAATCCTGAGTACAGTCTATATGACATATCAACTCGCCATCATTGTCTTATTGGTTGTTAAGTGAAGCTTCATGATCGGTGCTCAACTGCAAGTTAACTTAGACACCCGTGAGCGAACCCTCGCAGCATCATCGCATGGCAATCTCGTACATTTTGCAGCTTCTGAAGCTTAACCAACGGGTGTGTTGTATAGAACTCAAAAGAAGGGACCTGACAAACCAGGGAACTCGAATCTACACCGACTCCGCAATCTCGGTTACCGGCAACATTTGGGTATTCAGCAGTCGTAAGACCACTCACTTTATGACATCCCCCGAGCTGCAGCAGATTGTCACTCTTGTGGTCCATAAAACATGGGGCATAATAAAAATCGGGACAATTTAATGGATGCGGCTCTGGCTTCGGAGTGTTGGTTCGGGGGAATGATTCGTTCTCGGCCCCATCACTGGTTCCAAATTGCACTGTGTAAAGTTGGTAAGTCTAACTCAAGCCGCAAAACGCTTCTTAAACCAGTCCTCTGATGTGGCTTTCATTACGTGAGACTGTAGCCTGTATTATAAGTTTAACATCCAGAGCGAAGTTTGTTTGTTGAGGGCGAAACCAGTTTCACTTCCAGTATATTAACTCCCGGTCCCTCATACAGCACTCACGGTGTCAAAAAAGGCTATTGTCGCGTATGTACTACAGGAGGTAGACATAAGCCCCTAAGGCATCCACTTAAGGAAACATTTCGGTAGCCTGCAATTTCTTTCTTCATATCCTGTAAAGATAGGGGGCACCAGGCAGGATGCGCAAGTTCAAGTGTGGGATGCACATAAGACCTACATAGGAGTCACCGAAGTCCCCTTTTTATTTGTACCCCCTGACGTCGAGATCTGCAGCAGCCGATAAGGAGGAAACCTCTACACGGAGAAATGCCAACAGGAAGCATACCAGATTTTTCGGATTACTTAGAAGCGACTGCCATTAGCAACTGTTGCTCAACTTTGAGCCATTGGCGTATCAAAAGACTTACTGTTCGTGTTCCTGGAGGAAAACCGATGCACCATTTTTGGTATGTACCCTGGCGACAGCTCGACATTCAAGCTCATCGGGCGAGATGGTCTAGGTGGTTAGAAGGTCCGTGGTTCGAACCCGACCTCTGCCTCTCGACTTCCCGTGTCTAAGCTTGGTCCTCTTGCTTTCTTTGGGTAGCATGGCAGATAGGCACCGGAAGGGTGTTACAGCTGAGCGATTCAAATTACTACGTAACGTACACTGCTGAAGTCATCATATGAGCCTAAGGAAAACGTCCTGAACACAGATCCTCTTATCGAACGGGCAGACAGAAAACGATCGAATGTCCCGCGGAAGTCTACAACGGGTGCGAAGCGCCATGGTACAGTAATAATTACTCACCACCCGGGGCTCACAGACGCAGGTGTGACCAGCTCTGAATCGCATGGAACCCCATCCAAATTTTCAGTTGGTAAATATGGAAACAACTGCATACATTATTAAATAACCTAAAAATTCGTGTCTAATGATTCGGCCTGCGCTTCACAGGTGGAAAGAACAGTGATGAGCCGATTAAAGTAGTGAACGCGTATGTCTACTTGAGTAGATGGCCGAAGTGGTTAGAGCGCGGATTACTAACCTGAAGGTTCGCGGTTCGAATCCGACCTCCGCCACTCGACTTCCCCTGTCTAGGCTT